TATCACTTTTTACCAAAAATTACAAAAATATTCACCAAAATTAGAGAATTGAAGATATCATTACAAAATGAACAAATCTGAGAGAGGTCGACATGTAGTACTTATATATGTAATATCAAAGCAATTGGACTTGCGGTTTTCAACAAGAAGTCGAAAATATCACTTTTTACCAAAAATGACAAAAATATTCACCAAAATTAGAGAATTAAAGATATCATTACAAAATGAACAAATCTGAGAGAGGTCCACATGTAGTACCTATATATGTAATATCAAAGCAATTGCACTTGCGGTTTTCAACAAGAAGTCGAAAATATCACTTTTTACTAAAAATGACAAAAATATTCACCAAAATTAGAGAATTGAAGATATCATCATGAAATGAACAAATCTGAGAGAGGTCCACATGTAGTACCTATATATGTAATATCAAAGCAATTGCACTTGCGGTTTTCAACAAGAAGTCGAAAATATCACTTTTTACTAAAAATGACAAAAATATTCACCAAAATTAGAGAATTGAAGATATCAACATGAAATGAACAAATCTAAGAGAGGTCTACCCAAGGTACATATACACCAAGTATCAAAGCATTCAGGCTTGTAGTTTTCAAGAAGAAGTCGAAAAAGTAAAACATTGACACGGACGACGGACGACGACGACGGACAATCACTCATATGATAAGCTCCGCTCGACAAAGTCGACAGCGGAGCTAAAAAGATTACAGTACATAGACCGCATACATGTATGTCTATTTGTGAGAAAATAATGCATTATTCAGTATTGAACGCGCATTTCAGTTATCAGTAGTATCTGCATTTCAAGGCAAATATTAACAAACTTCTCTCACGACAATGATTTAAATCAGTAGCAATTTCTTTCTCCCAATTTTACAAAAAATGCGAGAGGAAATTAGAATGAATGAATGAATGACTGGAAACTAATATGCGGGTGAGAAATTTAATAGCGAAAAACATTAATTATGGAATGTCGTTTCAATGACTAAGCACCACTTTACTGCCAACAACTTTGGATATACTGTTTCAACAAACATAAAGTTTTGTACATTACAGCAAAAAAACGCTGCGATTAAAGATGCGGCATCGTATTTCATGTACCGTTTTACTGAATACAAAGCGATGACTGCTTAAACAAAAGCGGATGTTTTTACAACAAACAAATTTAATACAACAATGTGAAGGCGAGATTGAGATTTTTGTTCACGGGTGTAGACTGTCTGGGGGGTTGAAAACAATGCCGTGTTATGAGAATGGAAAGTGATCTTTTAAGTCTGATTGGCAGCGTAAGTGGTTTCGGAAGTAGAAATATTATACTCTGGTTTGTATTTCACTGGAGAATTAACAACTTGATAATATATTATGATTTTTATATTGCAATATATGACACTATAAACACCTACAATTGACCCTTGACCTTGACTTACCCAATTATCCCACTGCAAAGACCTTACTATTGACCTATGACCTTAACTTACCCAATCATCCCACTATAAACACCCACAATTGACCCATGACCTTGACTTACCCAATCATCCCACTGTAAAGACCGTACTATTGACCTATGACTGTGACTTACCAGAGTTATTATCCTGACTCACTTGAGTTATCTTACCGTAAACCTTCACTTACTGTGCCTCCCCATAAAATGGTGTACAGTTGATCTATTACATACCAAAGGTATTCCCATTGACTTTCATCTTTATGCACTTGAGTAATCCTACCATAAACACCACACAGTTGACTTTTGACCTTAACATAAATCCTATTGTAAACATAGCAGTTGACCCCTGACTTTCACCTACTGTGTTATCCCACTGTAAACATAGCATGATTTACCCATGACCTTGACTCACCCGAGTTATTCCATTGTAAAAACCAAACAGCTAGTTGAGCCATGACCTTGACTTACCGAGTTATCCCATTGTAAACACCGTACAGTTGACCCATGCCCTCCGTTTAACGTGTTCACAGGATGTAACACCTCTTTTCCAACAGTTAGAAGTCGTAGATTACCACTGTGAAAAGAAGCACACAGTCTAGTTTATAATGAAAATCAAATAAAATCAAACATCAGAAAATCACATCAGTTTATTTGTTATCCAAATGACACAATAATAAATCTAAAATATCAACATGTTTTTTTATTTCAATTTAAGATTTTCATAAATTTGTGCTTTTATTTTAATTTCAATTTTTTTTGTTCTAAATTCATTTTTTAATTTTTTTTTAAATTCTGACAAAAAGTCTAGAATAAAGCTGTAATTTGTGATTTTATTTTAATGTGAATTTAGTTTTTTCTAATTTCTGAAAAAAGCCTAGAATGAATCTGCAAAACAAATATTAGTCATGGAAGGAGCAAACCGAATGTACTGCCTGGTGAAATATGAAAGCAAAACTGGACTAGGCTAAAACAAAATAAAAACAAGATTTGCTTCTGTTCCTGAGATGTAAGAAAAAAATGGTGCAGTGTGTCACTTTTCTTTACTTTCTGTTTTTAGTCATTTTC